CATTCAAATCATCAACCAATACTAAAAAATTAATCAAAAAAGAACCTCATGTTCTCTTCGTTTCCCAACTATTGTTTATCATTGGCCGCTCCTGTGTTATGTTTACATAGGAAAATTTGGTAGAGAAGACAAAAGAATGAATGAACATGAACTTGAACTTACCAACCCAAAAAAGAGAGATTAATCGAGTTTTTTGTTCGATAAGATTACTCTTTTTCAATTTAGCACTAATTAACTAAAAAATAGATACCCGGAGATGTTTCAGTGTCAGATGCGGTTAAATTGCACAATATGCGTTTCCGGGGGCTTTGGCTGCACGGTGCCGGCCAGTGAACTCGAAGTTTCTGTTCGCAACCAATAACGGAGAAAGCGGAGGAGTCGCGATTTTTTTACGTAAAAGAAAGTGTCATTTCTCTTACTTATTGCGACAACCTCTTCGATTTGCCGTAACTCTTTTTATTTGTATAGTCGGTCGTTGGCGCAAGTGAAATGCGGGAGACTGTGTGATCGCTGTTATTACAAGACCCATTGCACCAGTCTGTATTAGAAATTTCTTGTCATTTTGTAACTGGTGTGTACACCTATGTTTTAAGTACACAAATTTCGTAAGTAAGGAGCTCAATGATCCACTTGAGATTTTTCTACGGGTCGCCCTAAAAATTGCGTGTTGCCACTTGACAGCCACTGTGGTAGGTACTGTAATAAAAAAAATTGCGACAGCTTAGGAAATCGCGTTTATGGAATAGTAAAGATTATAACAAAATAAGCCGTTGAGACTGTAGTCACGTAAAGTTATAATTATTGTGTGATAAGGGTTTCAACACACTTCTAGGTGCGATACCATTCATGTTTATTTTAAAAAAGTAAGCTCGGAAATGAAGAAATTTTGCAATTTACTTTGAGGTCAACGAAACCTGTTCAAAACATCAAAGTGGCGTTTTTGTGACTTCTAAGTAAATGATTTCAGATTATTAACCAAAGATGGTATTACCGGTATACGTGACTGAAAAATAATAAATATTAGCTGTATTGAGGTTCATTACTGCGATGATTGACGACTGGTACATTATTTTCTTCTCTAATTAAATTCACTCCCCCCAATCTCACGTATCTAATAATCTAACGTAATACGTCCAGAGTTAAAATGTATGTATATTATCATTGTTTAAATACTTTAATTTAAACAATGATATTATATTGTCCACTATTTTAGAGTAAAGTAATGTATAATTCCAAGACACGATACGAAGACACTTCCCCCAATGAAAATCTCCTCTAAGGTGATTTCTTTTCAGGAATATTGTGGCAGGTATCTCCAAAACTGCTTCTAATAAAGATTTCTAAATCTGCAGAAAGGTGTCTAGTAAAATGTTAAGAAAATTAACAAAAATGATTATAAGCTTTTCAAAGGGATTTCCATGAAAATTTCAATGATTCATAAAAAGATTTTCAGGTTGTGGTAACAGTTGCTTAGTATTATTTGAGTAGAGTTTCTGAGAATTTTAAAATGATTTTTGTGGGACTTTTAAGATATTTATATTTAAGACAATTGAAGAGGAGATTTTTAAAGTATTTTAGATCCAACGATGTTTCAAGAATCCGGAAAATATTTTTCAACTTTCTACAAACGGATTGCCTGAATCCAAAGTTAACAGTAACACTCGGAAACACAAACGCTATTTTTAAGAAGATTAATAACATGTTTTTCAAGGTGGTTTCTAGAAAGACTGTCTTCAAAAATGTTCGTCAAACACATATGAGCATCATGGATAGAATGAGCCGGCGCTCCGTCACGTTGAAACACAGTGGTTTTTTTAATGTAATGTCTCAAATAACGGTACAATAACATCTACTAATGATAATAATAATAAGAATATGATGTATTGTGCTACTGTGTGCTATTTTTCATAAACGAATTTGGTGCACAAGTAATGATTAATAATATCCGCTGCCCTCGCTAAGGGTGTATCGAAACCACAGTGTGAAACAGACAGAGATGTATAAACTGCTCCTTTAATTGTGAATTAATACCGTGGTAGTCCAAAGTAAGAAAGATACGACAAACGAATGTTCAGTCACACTAGTGAAGTTTTCTTACCAAAATCTCGATCGCGCGTATTTATTTCATTTACGCAAACAAGTTTTTAGTGAAGTTGAGGTAACGCTTATGTGCTCGATTTTCCGTCGTCTATCTGTTCCAACGAGATCTCGACTCCTGGCCCACCTAGAGACTTCGGGTTTTCGCTAATTGATAGCTGCTATGGTCTATATTTGCCCGTTGTATTACCCATCATTTACAGTTGTGTTACGCGGAACACCCACGAGTGGGCGTTTCCACGCAAATGCAGCCACTGCCGGAAAACATTACTCATATTTAAATGTTTATTATTCAAAAACGGTTGAAGATATGACACACATGCCCTCGTTTTTGTGTACTCGCTCGTCCGAAATTCTCATTCATTATACGGTTTGTGTCACGAAGTACCAAATTCATACCAATGCCGAGCGAGCCGAAGGAGAGATCGGCACAAGTCAATCACTCTGGACCATTCTCGGAGCCATTATACGGTTCCGGTCACGAAATACCGAATTTATACCAATGCCCAGTGAATCGAGGATGAGATCGGTACAAGTCAAAAGCTCCCTCGAAAGTGTGGGTCATTAACGATTCCGGTCACGAAATATCGAGTTTATACCAATCCCCAACAAACTAAGGGCTCGATCGGCATAGATCACCCGGTTATTTGAAATTCTGAGTCGTTCGTTATACGGTTCCGGTCACGAAGTACAGAGTTCACACCAACGTCGAGCGAACCGAACGCGAGATCGAGATCAGTCAACCGCTCATCCCATCCGAGATTCTAGGCCTTTCGTTATTATGGTTCCTTTCACGAAATACCGCGTTCATATCTATGCCGAGCGAGCCGAAGGTGTTTTAAATTCTAATGCTTACTCATGTCAAATTTCTCAGTGAATTCAGAATGTGACACTCAGTAGAAGCGTTTAACCCTAGGTTATTTGTGGGTTTAGGAATTTTTTTTCTAATGCAAAGTCGTACAAAAATTCGAGGCCAGTATACGGATCCGGATAATACAGCGACGTTTTTATTACTGCTATAAGAGTTCCTCCTTTGCTGTTGTCAGTTTAGATTCTCAAGTTTGAACATATCCCAACCTTAACTGTTCGGGAGATAAACGATCACACATCCCCCCTACCTCAAAATGACGGCAATCAATCCCTCTATCATATTTAAGACATTTTGTACCAATAAAAAAATATCAACGAGACGATTCTTTTTCGGTTCTGTGTTAGTTATTGCTAGCCGTAGTCGTCTTGATGAAAATATTTAGATGTTGGTGGGTTTGTATACGTCGAGATAAAGACGTGTCATTAGATGACTTAACGACAATTTGTAAATTATCACATCCCAAACGAAAATCGGTAATTGCTCGCCTTGATGCATCACACCACCACAACTCGCTTCTAAATATATCATACACGTAAACAAGAGAGGTTACGCTAATATCTGCGTAGTCGAGTAAGTCGCTTATGGGGTCGGTGTTTGAATGCCAGGTAAAACACATGTTTCACCTCTCGAACATGTGGGTGAGTTTTCGCTACAAATCTATAAGTTTTGACTTTGGCCGTCGCTTTGAAATTTATAATTAGAAATACGTATATACATTCTACATTTACATTGAAAATTGACATTCATTTTTAATTACCTATCGATCACTGTTTCCATAACCTGGTTGCAGGCTACAATTATAATGAACTGGTTGAATTAGATCTGCCCAATTTTCCTTTGATGGGGAATAAGCTCGGTAACGCGCACCTGGCACGCATACGCCATACTATGAGTGGATATGAATGGTCAATGGATTTCGAAATTCTGTCTGAAAAAAATATTAATCTACTCAATGCGATGCTTAAGTTGACATGATGGCTCGCAAGAAACGAATTTTTGGTAATTTCTTGATATTTTGTTACTCACGAAAGTTAAAACGACTATTGTTGGGAAAATGGGGCATTTTAGTACCCACATTTTTTTAAAATTAAAGATTCACTATGATATTGACATTTGTGAATCCTCTTCGATATTTCACCAATATTTTGCATTCGATTTTGTGAACGTTTGCAATTATCAGGCACCATTTAGACCGAGAAAGGCGAATTTAATGGCATTCCATAATAATTTATGCAAAAAATTCAGTGGTTATTCTTCTGTAGAAAACTTTGCATTAGTATTATGTGTTTAGGTTATGTTTTTAAAGGAAAATTTACCACGAATGAATAAGCGTGCTTGCATACTCTCTGCATTTTGGACGGTGTTGGTGTATTAGTAATCAATGATTAATAATAATTTGTGCAATTGGAATTTGTGCCGTTTTGAGATAGAGAGTCGGTTATTAATTTTGTAGTCGCAATATATTCGTGGAAATAAACAAAATAGGTTAGTTTATTGGCCAACAATCACAAGCAATAATTTTTCTACTGAGATAAACTGAAATGCCCTTTAGCTTATATAGATTGAGCAATTTTGAAATATATGGCTCTGTTTACTTGGGCACGTTTTGCACACAGGCACACAATTTAAGGTTTTATATAAAGAGAATTAATTGTAATGCTTTTACAATGTTTACGTTAACATTAGGTAATATAGCAGTGTGTTGAAACATGGTAATCTTCACTTATTGGGACCGTGCTTTTGATATCTTAATATACGCATTTACATTGTGAATTGTTTAGATAATTTTGGAAATAATCGTACTTCAAATATTGCATCCGCCAGATTACTTGCTATTAGAAAAATTAATGGTGTAAGCTGGGTGTAGACGGTATTTGTGTAAGAATTCCGCAACTGCGACATGTTGAAACTAAGTAGATACGTCACCATGAGTGTTTAAATGTTGAGTAAATTACATTACAAAATCTATCTGTACTGTGATGTGAATCACTCTTTCGAAAATTCTAAAACTAATTTTTGGCTTTAATTGCAGGACGGAATTAAAACTGGAATCGCTTGAAGACGCCGTCGTATTAGAAGAACCCGAAAGCGACTGGCTCCACGACAAACGAGGATGTCCCGCCTACGTCAGCCCGGAAATTCTCAAAGCTGGAGCCCATTATTCCGGAAAGGCAGCTGATATGTGGTCGTTAGGAGTAATCCTTTACACGATGCTTGTCGGAAGGTAAAAAAAATCCTATAATTAATTAACTTGGCGACGGCGACGATAATGTTTTGATATTAGTTCACAAGGATGGCTTTAACTAAGATAAATAATTTGCGACACTAGTTAGTGACATTCACAATGATCATTTTGAAATTGTACAGTAAAGGCGATGAACCTACCAATTAATCAAATAAATATGTAATTGCGGAATGTCACACACACTGCACATAGTAAGTACTAAGTTCATATTTAGAACGCGTTTTTCAAACTGATACGGCAATAGGAAATTAATGACTATTTCAAATTGTTGACCATCAACACTTTAATGGCGATTTTATTTTTTCTGTTGCTAGATGACATTTTTACCGCTCCCGCTTTTCTTATGGAATTTCACCCCCCTGCCTTTCCTGATAATAAGCACGTGCCAGTTTTGAGGTGTAGAAATGTGCTGCCTTGAACCCTCGGACGCCATCGATATCATTTTTTTTTTACATTTGGGACGTTTCTTCAATATGGGTTCGATGACTGGTGCTGGGAGTTCAAATTTTATCTCTTTCGTGGAAAAAGATACGAGCTTTTCTGACCCTTTACCAATTTGCAATTTTGCTCATACACATTTCACAATAAATTAGCCAATATACGTACCAGACGGTGGTTTTGATTGGTACAAAAAAGAGAATGTAGCGGTTAAGGGATCTTGGTCACCTTATCCGTCCAATTACCGTGTTTCTGATTGACTGCAGAGTACTTAATGGCACTGTTTTCGGAGAATTTGAATCTGTTATCAGAATTTCCATAACACACTAGATGTAGAAGCTACAGGCTACTAAGACTTTCTTATTTCTTATGGACGCCATATTGGGTTTACGGATTGAGGTAACGGACAAAGAACATTCATTGAAATGCATTCATTCCGTAAAAATCCAATATGGCGCCCGTAAAAAATAAGAAAGTAAATAGTACCCTAGCTTCTACGTCTGGAAATGCTGATAACATATTTAGATTCACCGAAAAAAGTGCCCATGGACATAGGCTCGAGAGAAAAACAAGCGTAGATAACTAGATACGCAAAAATTTCTGGAAAATTCAACAAATTGGCGTAAGTAGGAACAATTCGTTCAGAAAAAAAGCTACCAAGGTCAGAAATGTATAGGTAAATTTCGGTTTGCCTGGCATATCTTCAGAAGTAATCGGAATTTTCCGGTTTTTTAGTTTACAGCACGATAATAACTCTTTAATTGCGCAACTTTTCTCCATTTTCACCATCGTAGTATCTTCTATTTGTTTCCGAGATCCCCATGATAGACGCATTCTTATTTTGGACACAGTGTTATTGAGTAGGTAAAGGGTGTCTAATTATGAAAATTATAATACGACGCACCCCGTCTTGGTCTAATGATCATTCTGGTTCACCTTACCTGTACTGGATGCACGAAGCGTGTCGCATATGGGGGTGTCGTGGTTCGATGCGTTTGCACTTGTGAATTACCGTGCTTCTGCTCCGAGGACTTTGCTCTTCGCAATTTTGTCTTCAAAGTCGATACCTCGGAACGACGCCTATTATTTTTAACTTTTACCACGCAGCGTTTATAATTAATTATATGCTCGTAGTAAAAATGACGACCCCTTGTGTGTTGGAAGCAGGTGCAGCTTACAACTTCATCCTTAAGATTTCTACAGGGCGTAAGAGCAGGTGAGCCGTACAGAACCGGAGACTACCAACATTTTTATAATGGGAGAAATCGGTGAATAACTCATTAAATGATGGTCACTTTTGAGAACTCCCGATTAACGTAGATACCACATAATTCTACCTGGTTTCGGGCAGGTGCAGATTTCGAAGGGGTTTACAAGATTTTTTGGTACCGCAAGGTATATTAATTGGTGCAGGTGCCACGCGCCTGGTATATATTTTTTTGTTTAGAAAACGTAAATGTGTTCGCAATTGTCGCCATCTGCTTACGCATTCCCGTTCCTTTTAGGAAACACGCTCATTTCTGTTGTAATGCCATAAAATGGCTGTCTTAGTATAAATCGTCGTTTCTTGGATTGTAACACTTTTCCTCGAGGGCCGAGAGGAAAAATCGTTATTTTTATTCCTTGTGGCTATCATGCGTAACGGATTCACCATATGCTTACAGGACACAGGTGATTGGTAACAACAATTCTAATGAAACAGCAGTTGGCATTAAGTAAGGGGTGGATCTTCTCATAATCTTGTGGGTATATCGGTTACCATATGCCGGAGAGATATTTTTGTTTTTTTTTTTTACTGCGCCCTTATACTATTAAACAAAAACAGGTGCGTTGTAATTACGCAAAAAACTTTCCATTATGTCTCTCAAATGCCGTTCTTGTTTTTCCACTACCTATGTAGTGTTTTCAACCGTAAAAAAATAAATATTTTGATCCCAGAAAATTTTAAACTACACCGTAAATATTATTGTTCCATTTTAATCATTGCTTAATCCTTAATTATTTCACGTTTATCGTGCCCTTCACGTTAGCACAGAAATTTTTTTGTCAGTCATTGACATCCAATTTGAAATTTGTAACCATTTGTTGCGTAAAATATGACGGACAATTTAGTATTGATTTGGTACCGAATAGCTTGCTTCTTCACTTTCCTTGTATTATATGATATAGTAGGGACCCAACACTGAACTCTTACCTACCGCTTTTCGATCATCAGTTGCATTCAGTACTGAATTCGACAACTCTATTTATTATGTGATGGTTTTGTCCGTCTATCTGTACCTGTATCTAACTCGAGAACGAAAAGACACAGCGATGTCAAACCTGCGCCAATCGATTTCTGCGAGTACAAAGATCAGTGCTATTGAATATGAGCCGGATCAAAAGTCTGGTTTCCGAATACGAGCGGACTGACAAAAAATCCCATACTGAAAATCGTATGCGATTCTTCGTATCTTGTTATTTATATGAGAATTCAGTGCAACTTAGCTTACAGCTTCAGGTCAGGCAATCGTGTAGTTTTCCGTCTGTCTATAGGTATAACTCTCAAACGGAAAGCTGATTGGTTCCTTTTGGTCCAAGTAAGAATCGTATTGAATTTAGAGTCACGGGGTAAAAATAGTCAAAGTTACAGTGACCAACGTAGAAGTTCGTATAATTGCATGTTTGAACCTTTACGGCGTAAAATATTAGACTTTTGTCGCAATAGAAAAACGTTGTGGGAGCCTTCAATGCTCCGTTCTATCGGTTTTATTTTTTAGATGCTTTGCACTGAACTAATATCAAAATGCCAAAATGAATCGCCGCTCCAAAATAGACGTCTGGGAAAGTTAACATTTCTTATTTAAAAATTTATCTATGTTTATTATGACGGAAAGACCACCCAAAACAACATTTTTGACCCCATGAACTATAAACGAGGCTTATCACAAAAATTGGCTATTTGATAAACTAGCCAAGCTTTATTCATCCCGTCACGTAAATACTAGCAAAATTAGTTCCTTGCTTTATCATTTTATCCTTTACCAACTTTAAAAATGAAAAAAACTAACAATCGGATTTTTTTTCAGATACCCATTTAACGATTCGGAGCACGCATCCCTCTTTGCAAAAATCTCCAGAGGTCACTTTATTATACCCGAATGTTTGTCATCCCGGGCGAGATGCCTCATACGTTCATTACTAAGAAGAGAACCATCAGAAAGAATCACATCGGAAGATATACTTTACCACCCGTGGTTGTCTCGCGAGGATCGAGACTGGCAGTCGAGAGCCTGCGATCAGTTAGTGCCAGAGTGTAGCTTATATGATGATGAAGATTAAGTAATATTGTTGCAATTTATTCTATGTGAAAATGTACATTCTGTTTTTGAAAAAAGTTGCATTATTTGTATGCAATAAGGTCTCTTTTGTATCTGCCTTTTGCATCACAAATGTTACAGTAATTATTTATTTGTTTAACTCTTACAATTAATTAAATTAAGCACCTATTCATATTATTGTTGTTAAATGAAATTGTTAAATTATGGAAAAATTGCAATGAAGTTAAATCGCTGACTGTTTATTAAATTCTGTTAACGCATCACGATATTAATTTAACTGTTAGAGAGTAAGATTGTTTAATTTAGAAATTTAAGACTGATATTTTTTCATTTGTTATATTGGTTTTAAAGGTGTTTTAATACAAGAAATAGCCATTTTGTAAAATATTACAAGGTTCTAGCTGCAGTGCAGTATGAAAATGTATTTAAGTAATAGACATAGAGTGATTATCGTGATGCCCTATGTACGTAAATTGTGAGTATTGTGATCTCGGTCGGGTAATGTCATATCTGACTTTTCTATTGTTAAAGGAACTGACTCATTGTACAGAACTTGTAAATCCGCGTTTCCTAATTTATATTTAGTTAAATATTAATTTTATGAATGATTGTAAATAGCTTCGCCTTGTATTGTGAATGATTTGATCCGTCGTCGTTGGTATATGTTATCGAAATAAAATTATTATTATTGATTTTGTTCCTTTTTCTACTTGTTATGGCAACAACTACATAGGTGGTATTGCGATAGTTTTGGGTCAACAAGCAATGGTTTGAGAAAAATTGAGTAAATCATATTTTTTTTCATTTTGCCTTTATTTTTGAGTGGGCGGAGTTTCAGCCAAGGTTGCTCTATCAACCCAACCCACTATACATTTACAAATATCCATGTTCGAACCAGGGGCCCTTAGAACCACAGTTCAGCTTTAACTGAACTGCGCCACACGGGCCGGTTCAGTAAAATTGATCGGTCTTTTCTGGTTTTTGATTATAAAATACATCCGTAGTCTAAATCCAAACTGTCTAGTATTAGACAATGGAAACACTGATAAATATGGTTTTTTAAAAACAAAAAGAAATTGTAAACTATATAGCAAATTAAATAGCGTAATTTTTGCAATGTGTAATATCACACCAGCCAAACACACGTATTATAATCGGAACAGTAAAGGTCCACGCAAACCGACGCGGGAGCGGGAACGGTACCGCACGCGGGAAATATTTCTACAGCGGGTTATGCGAGCACGCACACCGATGCGGCGGTTCGCACGCATATACCGCTGTAGAAATATTTCCCGCATCCGTACCGCTCCCGCGACCGCGTCGGTTTGGAACGTCCGTTATAAAGCTATAATGTTGTGGTAACATACCCCTATGGTTAGGCAACACACCATAAGAAAGAATAAAAGTTTGGGAAAAATACGAAACGCTCTGTGTATATGCAGAGTATGTTCTTTGGTATGTATGTGTTACCGGCATATATATGGTTACCGGCAAAGTGCGAAATCCGGCATTTTGCAAAATTCCTATTCCATAGGTATTTCGCGAAATGACCAATGTAGCAGGCAAAGTGAGAAATGGAACTCGAGACGCTTGATTTTCATGAAAAAAATTCTGGTTTTTCGATTGTAGTCTATCGAAGGAACTCAGGGATTTGGATACTGGAAAGGGCCTAGGCTGTTTCGAAAAACGCTAGAATATTCTGGTAAGACGGTGAACGACTCTGAAAAGTGCTCTTATAAGACTTCAGAACCTTCGGTCTTTTCTACAACTTTATTTTAGAATAGACCCTTCTGGGTACCCGGTGCCCTTCAAAACTTTGGAGTAGGTGTATTTTTAAATATTTGTATGTTCTTTGCAAAACGTAGTGTATATAGAAAGTCCTACATATAGAGCATTTGTAGGTATTTTATCATTATCACCTTCCAATATAGCGGTGTAGGTCTCCTTTTGCCGTGCCTACAGAGAAAGCTGAAAACTCTGATATATTGGACAAAAATGTTCAACAACCGATAAAGACGAAATATACTTACAATTGCAAACCACCTATAAGTTATGTAACACAGCTCTGGAATGCTCTTACAAAGAGTAGTTTCATTGTTTTGATGACTTCGATAGTCTTCTAGATCTTTTCTGTGATTTTTTAGATGTACTTATTAATATTAAATTAAATGAACTAGTAATATTCTACTGGGGTTTTCTGCAGGGGGTCTGAAAAGCTGATAGGCGATTATAGAGGCCGCATAAAATAAGTGGAGGAAAGGACGTAGAATGCTTATTTTATTGCTTTTGCTTTACTAAATCTTTCAATGTCTAGAGAAACGTTTAAAATACTCTTGAAACATTTGTTAGACTTTTTTCAATCAGAAAATCTCCCAGATGTCTGTGGTAAAAGAGCATATGCAGGACGTTATGAAAGGGTGGAAGAGCTCAGAAATCGGTCTAGCACAATAAGCTCCAAATGAAGTTTAACAAGTACCTACCTACAGCTTTTAGAACTTTACTAAGTAGTGCTTTCTTCCAGGGATCCTTTACATTATTTATGGAGTTGGTGGGAGTCTTATGCCCTTTCTCTAGGACTTTTCGGAGATAAACGAGCTAAAACGAGTCTATAGGTACGTAAAGGATGCAGAAAGTGGCTTACAAAGTGTACATCAATGTCTGCAAGCATATGGTGCGATATTATTGGAACAAAATCAAACTTTGTATGAATTAACGAATGGTAAAGCAATGATAAAACCATTGAATAAAAATATAAAACTTAAGACTTTTTGTGCGTAAGAAAAGACAAGAGAAATGAAATACATTACGCACGAAAAGGGACCAAGAAAAAACCTTCAATGGACAAAAAACCTATGGCATGGCATAACGCACACAAATACAAGAAATAAATCAACTACGACAACAAAATGAAAGCAAAATACGTGAATCAAACATCTCAAATTGTACAATCAAAATCGAGTCAAAATTCAGGTGCACAAATTAATGAAACAAGATAAATCAATTTAGTACAAAAACACATCTAGCCCTTACATACTAGAAATCAGACAGTTAATTCACACTTTCAAAAGCGGTAACCCGAGCAACTCGGGCATATTTTTCTTCTGGGTACCCTCGCATAGGGTTATTGCTGGAAATGAAGCAGAAGAATCGAACACCATTAGATCACATTGCAGCAATCAGGAAAAATATAATGGCGGAATATATTAATATCTCTACATAGTTAGGGAAAATCAAGGGAGTGCAGAGTATTGTGAGCTATTCATTCCAGGAGGGAAGTGCCATGGTTTCAGGGCCTTAACATTCCTAGAAAATTAATTACCTTTATATATCAATGCCGCTCTGGCCATTACAATCTCAAAAAATCACTATTTAAAATAAAAATTGTGAATAGCCCTAACTGTGAGTGCGGCTACATGGAAGAGGACCTGAATCATGTCTTGTGGAAATGTCCTAGATTTGATGAACAGCGAAAACAACTTATTAAACTTCTTGGAGCACATGATCAAAAATCACCTTCCCCCTCCATATAAATTCATTTACCTATAGATAAACCAAACGTCTTAATAATGTCATACATTCTGAAATCCATGTTAAGTTGTGATCTCAAAATTTAATTCCAAATTCAGTTCAATTGTTATTGTATTTATATTGTTGTAATAACCGCAGCACAGGGCCGTAGCTAGAACGGAAATTGTAAGGGTGCAAACGAAATGTTGGAGGGTGCACTTATTGTTTACAAAAATAAAGTCTCAAGAGACTTGTTTGTCAAAAAAGCAAAAAATATATTAAAAAAAAAAACTAATTTTATCCAATCCATAACTTCAGATTTCAAATATGTCTGAAAAAGTTATTTAAACTTGTTACTTTTGAATCAAATTGCATAATTCTAATATCCATTGTACTCATACTACAAAATGTAGTATGTAGGTATTATAATTATCAAGAATAATCATTTTTATTCAATTTTATTGTAATAATTATGAACAACAATAATATTGTATATTTGTGATAATTAATTCACAATGTACAAAAATAAGACTATTGTACATTTTTATTTTACGATTCTGATCGTGATCGGTCAGAGGGTGCCACTTAATATCCAGAGGGTGCCACTTAATATCCAAGAGGGTGCCAGGCACCCTCTAGCAGCCCCCTGGCTACGGCCCTGCCGCAGCAAGCTGTATGGCCAGTTAGGCTGGATGCCTTAATTAGAAAAAAAAACGATCAATTTAACACGAAAAATACAGGTGAAATACAGCAGTAATTATATGTTAAAATCGATCATCACACACATAGACCAACATACTAAACAGAAGAAAAGTTAATTCGCCCCCCCCCCCCCCTACTCCTCGTATTGCTAACACACCGTCCGGCAGCGAGTAAAATTTAATGCAAAATGTAAATAACAACAAATTGTGACATGAAAGTTAAAGATTGTGGCATTGTATTGTGGTTAGTATAAGAAAGAATAAAATTATTATTAACAAATGAAACAAAATAAATAGTGGGAAATCTTGTACACATGCACATTCCTCGAGGCCTTAGAATTTAGTAACTCACGCCAACTTACATATGTTATTAAATAATACCTTTGTAAATGAATAAACAATCATAATACCATTAATAATACCAAAGAGTACCCTTTGATAATACTATTCTACAATGTGCATAAGTAGGACATTGTAGTTCACAAGTTGATAACTTTAAAATCCAAGCGCAGCAAAGACTGTAAATATCTATTGGCCTGTCAATTAATTTACGATTTGTATAGGTACCTATTATGTGTAAAACTAGCAGTTGTAAATGCTTATTTATGAGGCGGTTTTTAATTTTATTCTTATCTTTGGACACAGTGTATACTGTTGTGTAAACGTCTTGTAGATATTATTTCGGTCTAAACCCAAAAATAATTATGACCGATGGGGCATCCGGTAAAGGATATTTCAATTTATTAAGAGTAAATCTGGCTGATTATATACGAGTGAGGAGTTGAGGACAAAGTTGGTTTAGTGAATTTGAATTTGTTTCTCTTTTCGACATTTTGTTAAATGCGTAATTCTTGTTTAATTTTTATTGCTTCTGTAAATTATTCAATATAGATAAGGTTACAACTGGTCGTTTCAATAAGAATTCTTATTAGGCAAAAATAATTAACGCACGTGGGTTCCTTATCGCTGTTAAGAGATGAAGGTGTTATTTTCGCCGTAAGTGGGGACGCGTTCTTTCGAAGTGGGCGTTCTCATGTCTAATTGTGATTGAAGAATTACTTGAAAATTTGTAAGAGGCAAGCGGTGTTCTCTTAACCCTTCAGTGGTGACGCACGGTCTGTCAGACCGACGAAAAGTATTTTTCAAATTTTTGTAAAAACGGCGCAGCGCATGGCACTGCTAGTTCTGCTAGCTTAATATTTTGCGTGTCTGAGTTTAGTACCAGACGAACAACTTGATGAAGCAAGCCGTTCTTTGACAATTAACCCTTTCGGTCTGTCAGACCGACGTCACCATTGGTGTACCTACCTAAAAATTCAAGCTGCCACTGCACATTCTTTCAAACAGAAATCAAGAACAATTCGGCAATTTGGGTATATTTAGTGCCGTGAGTAATTGGCCGCTTTCCGGTGCGTCGCCGCCATTGATGCTACGAAAATTCTAGTCAGGGCAGCATTTGCAACGCGCATCGCTTAGTATTGTGTATAATTCAATTTAGTTATGTTCAGTGGCGGTCCCAGGGGGGCCCGTGCCCCCTCCCCCCCTATTGTTCATTTTTTTCATCAGATTTCTTTTATTTTTTTCCGTGTTGGGACAAAGTTCGGGTTTGGGCCCCTCCCTACTGTCAGTGGCGGCCCCAGGGGAGGGGGGGCGTGCCCCCCCCCCATTGTTCATTTTTTTCATTAGATTTCTTTTATTTTGTTCCGTGTTGGGACAAAGTTCGGGTTTGGGCCCCTCCCTTTACCAAATCCTAGGCCCGCTACTGGTTATGTTACAAGAATAAAATTTATTTTTCGATTTATATGCCTTTGTTTATTTATTGACTGAACTTTTTCCTTTATTTTAAGCCAATTTACATGCGTAGTAACTACGAAATCAAGCCAAAATCAAATTCGGTCTCAGACCGAGGTCACCACTGGTGTTCCAAAATTTCACGTCATCACTGCAGGGTTAAATACTGCAATCAACCTAGACACGAGGCTGCCAGTTCCGCGATGAACGTGTACATTTGTTCATATTAATTTCGGGCAGTTGGCCCTAGTTGCGCACAAATTATACAATTTTAATAAAAGGTTTAAGTTATCGTCAAGTGATGTGAGTTTTAAAAAAACAATCTATTTGTATTCAGAAAAGGTTAGTCAGAGTATGCGTAAACAAGCAGTTATCTCATTAAGCTTAGTGAAACCTTTCTAAAAGGTTTTTCTATCATTATAAGTTTCTACTGTCTGAGCAGCCACCGAAAATTTCTCATGTTATTTATCAAGATAGTTTAGTAAAAAAAGAAAGTGGCTTACTGAAGATGTAAGTGAGTGTTTTTGTCTTTGATAAGTGCACCTGAATATCGCAAAGGTTTTTACGACCAGATTATTTGGTTTTTAAAAAAATCCCAAGTAGTAATTTAAGAATTTTTTTTAGGTACTTTATTATCATCTGCCAGCGTGCGGGGTACCTATTCTGTCCAAATAAGCTTCGTAAACTTTTCTTTCTTTCAGAGATGTTGTTTAATTGTTTCAGAATACATTTTTGTCATTGTCAATCAATTAATTGTGTTTATTCCAATCCTTTGTGCGACCTGGATGTCATTCATGTCAGATTTTTCTATTGGTGGCAGAGATTTATTTCAGATGTAATAGATTTTTTTTAATTTTCCGAAGTTGATTGAGGGAGTCTCTCAAATTGCGAAATTTTAAGTCAATTTTCTGATTTTTTTATAGCAGATGCTGGAAGTGTACAAGGAGAGATTATAACATTTCTTGTGCTGTGGCGATCCGTCATTCAAATATTCTACAATACAACACAATCTTCTAGAAAATGACATCGCGACAAAGAACTTTTCCCATTTCTGGACTTGTAAATTATACATTTGAACAAGTTGCCAGTTACCAAATTAGTTCGACTTTTGATGTGTTAAACAACCTTGCACAGACTAGTAATAAAGTTAGAAGGGCGTTGTATTTTCTTGTTACTTTTTGGAAGATTCTTGTTACTCTTGATGGAACCCACCTCTATTGACATAACGTCAGAAATTCTCAGAATCTCTTGAAGGAATATTGTGACCACTTGGAAAATTGCCTATATCAATACCAAAATAAAAATATTCAACATGGTTTATTTATATATAATAGCATAACATACATTATATTCTCGATTATATGATTCATATAAAATGTTTGCACACCATTTACATTATCTACAGCAAGAAGAGCACACTCAGGTTATTAAGTATTGAGTATTTAGAACTCTGTAAATTGTTTGTTCCAAAGTTATGTAGGTAAGTATAAACATTTATCTGTAGTCAGTAAGAAATTATTAATAATAATTGACTTGACCTTCATCACAAAACTCTTATCTGATAATTAAAAAAATATAAGCATAAATTTAATAATGACTGTTGTAATACTCAGATACTTAAAAATACAATCTAAACATTGGGCTCATTTATAATATGTATAAAACCTCAAAAACATAACAACTATGTACACACGATATCTTAAACTTCGAGATATATTCGAATTATAAATATAAATGTATTTACAAAATAATATTGAGGAAAAAAGATGAAAACATCGAAACACGCGAAGTAACATAATTATAAAGGTAGGTTGAATGTTGTATAATAAATATTGTGCTTAGAATAAATGAAACTGAATATGACATGTTTCAAATGATGATCTTCACCAATGATTAAACTGAAAAAAATAACAACATTAAGCTTTTAGAATAACCCACAGAAAACTAAAGTGTCACACACTTCTGTGATGATACTAAGCATATGTACAGCAATATCAAGCGACCACAGTAGATACAATAAGTAAGACAAACTATAAATTCTACGAATACATTAATTACAATAAGTAACTTAAGATTATGTTAGTTAGGACTTCTACACACAAACTACAAGTGCTTCTACAAAATTCACATGCAGTACCGATTATAGTTGTCGAAACTTTCTACAAGTCAATGGAAATTATTACCTTGATCAAAACAGCTCGGATTGATGATATTGATCAGTTCGTTTTCGGACATTGTGGCAAAACCGGTGGGAATCATGTGATCCGCATTTTTCTTCTCATTTTGCATCTGCCCGGTAATGTCTTTGACGGCTACTGGAACACTTCTCTGTTGCATATTGTTTCCCTGATTTGAATCACGAGTCGGCGATGACAAAATATTATTCATTATCACCTGTTCTATACTGCTCGCGTTATTGCCCGTAAATGTCTCCAGTTCGTTTAACTTTTTTTGTGTTTCTAATAGATCCACCGCCGCCTTTAGTAGTATGGCTTTTTCCGGTTCAGTCGCGTTTATAAGTTGATTTGATAAGGCTACGGGAGATCGTACGGGGGACGATTCCGAGGAATGTTGTCGAGATGCAGCCTGTGGTGAAATAATGGTGGCATCCGCGGGGCTTGTCTGACAAATTGTGGTCAGCAGGACGTCTTGGTTTAAGGCGGTCGGTGTACGGCACATCATACTCGGCGATAATTGAGAGTTTAACATAATATCGGGAGAAATGTTGGGGGTGTTCTGTGTGGTGGAATTTAAGTTGGATTGTTCCACTGTGGGCGAGAGCGTTGTGTTGACTGTTGGAGACATGAGAAGATTTGGGGAGGTGGTTGTGGCGCTCAGCAGTATGTCCTGCGTGGTGGCGTCGGAAATTAATGCAGATTTAGTTTCCATTAGTATGTCTTGAGGCGAGTGTACATTTCTATCCCTGGGATTTAATGCAGAGTTGAGTTTAGAAATGATATTTTCTTCCATGGCAGCCTGCATCATATTTTCTGTCAGTACACTCTGTTGTAGTAATACTTGGTCGTTTGTTAGTGGCAACGTTCTTACTGGTAGTAATGAAGGTGCAGAGGAATGGAAGGTTGTGTTTAAATGAGGTTGAATCGTACTTAAATGAGTGCTGTCTAGGACACTGCATTGTGTTTGCGAAATTTTCTGTGTAGGCCGGGTCTGGTGTGATGCACTCAACAGTTGACTCAACTGCAACGCATTATTGGCAAATCCCATCGACTCCACATTTACAGTTTTTGTTTCGATGGTGGAGAGGTAGTTTTCTATACTTTGTGCAGTCTGGGCAAGGAGTGGTGTGCTAGTTGCTTCGGTTATTCCAAAGCTTTGCAAAGTGGCCATTGACGGCGCATTTGTGAGAGCCAAATCTGCCACAGTTGCTGCAGGCATTTTCATTCTCAAGTCCATAACGGGTAAGTCTGTACAAGAACGGACGGTTGTAGTTGTGGTCGGCAATAGTATGTTGCTTTCAGTTATGCAGTTATTAGAAGAGTTGACCAAGGATACGTCATGACGCATAATTTCATTCATAGAGTTTTCGTTAATACTCTGGCTGATGGCGTCCATTGAAACAGAACTGCGTCGTAACATATCCATTGAACTTTCATTAATCATCGTTATATTTGAGTCTCCCTGCTGTACATCCATCGAACTTTCTGATAAATTTCTGTAACGCTCGCGATGTAGTTCCAAAGGGTCGATTATCGAATTTTGACTGTTTTCATCCATTAACTCTTGTTTAAGGCTATTAAGTGGGGGCGATGAAATTTCAGAAGACGTGTTAATTGACGGGCGTCGTTGAGCAATGGGCATTTGATTTGTACCAGGCGGTGGCATTATACCTTGTTCGTGTTTATTTATCGACGACCAAATTACTTTGTTGGAGAAAGTTGCAGACGGAGTACTTTCAGAAGTATGAACTGTAAAACATATAAAAAATATATTAGTACATAAACATAGCACAGGAGCGATTTATAAATTGTAGCTGCCGTCAAAAGCCACTGTAAAATAAGGGGGATGGGGATGTGCCACTCACGCCAGGTTACTTCACAATCGAAAAAAAACTCAAAAGTAGCTTATTGATTTCTACAATTGCATCACTATTATTATTATTAGCAATTTATTTCAATTTTGACTACCATGGCTTGATAGACATGACCCACAATGTTAACGCCCGAAACACTCGCAGATTCAAGAAAATCCATACAGTCACACTTCCACTCCAATCACACTTCAAACACGCTTTTAAATCCTAACCCTATTACAAGGATTTTAGGAATTTACGATAAGTGTAGTGTGATGATGCAATTAATTCAGGCAAATTCAATATTATGGATAATGCATTCAAGAAATATAAGAAACCTCTCTACTGTTACCCGACACCTCATTAAAAACTATTAAACAAAAACACAAAGATAGGTACAAACCCGTTTATTTGTACTATACCCGAGTTGAATTGAATTGAAATTAGAACAAAAGCTGTTAGTTAGGGGACTAAAAATGCAATTGTCCAAAAGATTCAGTACTTGTACCTAGTGCAAGCGATTTTCGTGAATTCTTCCAGAGACGTCAATAAGAAAAGCAGTACCAAAACGTGTGTCAGGACTGCACATAAAACAACAGTACACTACTGAAGGTTTAATTTTTGAAATGACTGAAACAAACAGTTATACACAATGGTGTAATGGGGGTTTTTTTGCGTCCAGAACGGCGTTCCTGTAAAAATTACAGACCAGCCACCGGCGCCACTATCCTTGAAAACTTCCGCGCCTGCAACCGAAACATTACTCCTATACGCATGGCACAAATGAAAAAGGGACGCAACAATAAATCATGTATGCTAGCAAATTAATACGTACTGAAAAAGGCGAGAACCTTCTAATAATCAAACATGCTATCGATGAAAAGCAGTTTGTTAATATTCAATTGACTAGTGATAACAAAATTCCCGATATTAAGAAACTTGTTCCCTGCAGTTCTGCTGAATGTGAAACAGGTTTTAGTAACATGAACTTGAACTATTTTAATGAGTAGTAAACTATTCATTAAAATGCATGAACCACCATAAGAGAGATTTAATCCCTAATAACTAATATTTAAAAAGCTGGCCGAGATCAGCAGACGATACTCAAATGACGTCATCCCCTCGTGATTGAACTGCAGGTGAATTCAAGTAGTGCTGATCTCTTAATGTTTACGTTCATTAAAAGCCACTTGCTTTGATTTTGGTTTCAGCAGGATGTTTTCCCAATCCCAATTTAATAGCACAGTCGGCGGTGAATATGAATCAAATTGATGCATGATGCAAAACCATTTGAAATATAGTTCTATTTTCAAATAACAAAAGTCGAAATGTGGTAAACAATTTGTAACAAGCAATGAAAACGTGCACATATTTTCTGTTATTCCATTTCTTTTCTTCTTTTTGAATTAAAATTCAATGTAGTGTTCTACAGTCAAAGATAATATGGCATACAAATGAATGGTTCAAATTAGGGATGTAACGGAAGTGGTTATATCAGAACCGAATTCGGAATCGGAGTTTTTAAATTTGGTTTATCGGAACCGGTATCGAAACCTTTTAATCGGTATTGAACATCTTAAGATTCCCGCATAAGGTATCAAATGGAATGAAATACAAACAGTAAAAAGGCATCTATGGTTAAAATTTCAAAGAAATATCTCCATGCATAAGAAAGTTGACGATGTGCAATTCGCGCATGCGCAAATTTAATTTATGCTATACGCGATGTTTGTTTTTACTAGAAACGTATATGTTTAATTTTTTAAAGAAAGACCATCATAAGTAAAAAAGTTGGCATTTTGCAGTCGACATATGAATTTTACGTGATACTGATATGTTTTTCTTTGCTAGAAGCATCTATGGTTAAAATTTCAAAGAAATATTTTCATAAATGAGAGAGTTGTCACTGCGCATGCATACATCTAATGTTTACAACATGAGATGTTTGGCTTTAACAGAAGCATCTCTGCTTAAAATTTCAAAAAGATATCTGGATACATAAGACAGTTGATATTCTGCGCATGCGCACATTAATCAGATGTTTACAATATGAGATATGTTTGCTTTTATTAAAAACATTTTTGGTTTAAAATTTCAAAGAAATATCTCAATAAATAAGAAAATTGATATTGCGCAGTCTGTGCATACGTACATTAATCGTCAAGATTTTTCTTGGCTCAGGTGCCAGAGCTATAAGCTACCGAATTCAAAAACAACGAACTAAATATATTGAAAATGTAGTAGTTAAGGCCTCGGACGGACGGACGGACAGAGAAAATGACTGCAAATGCACACTCAAACTTCTTTGAAAAATGTAACGCAAGTAAAACTGTGTGGTATCTGAAATTTATGAATGAGTGCTTCTAGTAAGAGCAAATAACTAGCTCAAATGCAAAAAAATTAAGTCAAACAATAGGCCAAATTGGCAATATTCGTTAAAAGGTCAGGGCATTAAATTTTGAAGTTAGTAGAGAGAGAGAATGGACATCAAACCATACAGTTTTTGGGTTAGCATATTGGTAAATTTGTATAAACAAATTCCAAAAGATTAATGATTTGCTGCCAAGTAACGACTAAGGCTGCTTTAATGAAAAACACAATTATTGTTATTTTTGGACATGTACTCGTACCACACTTTGGCAATAAAGGTTACACTTGATTATTAGCAAAACAAAAACTTTTAATAGTGACTAAAATTCCCGTTGTAAATGGATGGACATAAGAAACAATACACCTTCATGAGATTTGGAAATTGAAAGAATGTTACTAGGTATATTGAAAAAATGCTCATATTTAAGCAAAATCTTATTTGCCAATTTTAATGAGAAAAGAACAAAAACTGTGTAAACTGACAACATTCAAAATTCATTCACAGCAGCTGATATCAAAATAATCATAATCTCGTTAGGTGCACTTAATGAACGTCTAAAAGCCACATTGCAGTTAAAACTCTTACGCCCTCATGAGATAATTTGCTAAAATTGGTCGATTGGAGGAAAGGTTCTAAAGATTCCTTTAAAAAACAAAAAGCTGTGAAGATCTCGTAAAATGTAAGAGTTGGTTCAAATCAATACTTAGCATCCAGGTGCGATTCCCTCCAAAGTATAAGTGGGGCTACATTAGAACATAATTTGAATGAATCAAAACATTGAATGTTTGGGAGATATAAATCTATTTCTTAACTTAGACAAGAACCTGTGCTACGGATGATGATGACTAAACCCCATGTGAATCATTCTGAATGTATTACAAATAAAGCCAGTATCAACAGCTTGATAAGCAACTTAGGAAAAAACCAAGAATATAGTTATGGATATAGGTTAGCACAACTCCTTATTTTTGTCAGCTCTGTACCGACCATAAAACTAAAAATGTGAAATATGGAGGAAAAAGTGGTATCAAATTAGATGTAATTGTTAATTGTATTACTGAAATAGGATACAGACATCACACTAACACAAATTAAATCTACATGTCTACTAATTTATGAACAAAATTGCTTAGTACATGCAACAAGCACACTAGTCACATGCAAAATGATATTCGTTTTGTTTGTAGAGAGGATTCTTAAAACTAGGAGTTCAGTGGGATGTGTGGTCGTAATGGGAAAATAATCTAAGCAGCCATAAAACATTTAAATTGACATTATCTCTCGCCCTAACATTATGGGTCGAATTTCAAGGTTCATCTGCCACTCTGCAAGATATCTGTAAAAGAAAAGAAACGGGTCCACGGTCCATTGGCCTGGCTAATAAGAAAACAAAATACATGCACATCCTTAATCAAAAAGTTGAATTTTGTTAATATCAATTTTAGTATTCTAAATAAAAAATGCCGTTATAAAAACGGTTCCGTTTTCAAATGATATACGTTAAAAAATGTAAAATGATCAAGCATTTAAAATATCCTTAAATATAATTATAGTGTAAAGGTAAATGATCCCATGTTTTATGTCTGTAAATGCGTTGTGTACGTGTAAAACATTCTTTGTAAAGCTTTTTGAATTTATGAAATAAAACATCGGGCATTAATTCGGGTAAATAAAGAAGGAAATGGAGGGCAAAAAATATTGAGGCGGGGTAGACTTTACAAAGAATAATAGTGTAATGACCTTTTTGTGTATGTTATGTTTCGTATTGTTTTTTTAAGTACCCGTGATGCGAGAACCTGAATGACGCGGACTTCGGCGTAGATTAGGCCCCGCAGGCTGACAGAAGTCGATGGCAGGCGGCCCCTCTGCGTATACAGAGCCTGTATGCTGTATGAGACAAAGTGGAAAAAGCAAACGCAATAGAAAATTGTAACAGTGCGATTCTCATACATTATATAAAAAAAATGGTTTGGCAAAATTGAAAAATTTTTTGATTTCTGCAATCAAACATCATAAATCAGACGATGTTTCTACTGCTTACATACAATTGAAAATATTGTCAAAAAATTTTACAGCACAAGCTATAAAAACATTTGTAGCTTTGGCTTAATCCAGAAATTTTGTTACATAACATTTGCTGCACACAAACGAATTACATGAAACAAATACAATGTATGAAATATAAAAACATAAAAGCAACTCAATGTTTTCGATTACTTTACATTTACATTATTCATAATACAAGTATTATTGTATATTAATAACAATTCCAAAAGAAAAATATATAAAAAGAATTAATGCACCCTGCTTGCTGAAAAAATACGAGTTATATAAAAATAAAGTATAATCAATTAAAATCAAAAGCCATTGCTACAGGACTCCATAATTATAAACATTTACTAAACTGGGTCAACTTTAATTTAGAAAAACAACTTATGGAATCCTTTAAAGAAGTGGAGCAAATAGCATACTACTGCAACCACAAAAACATTCAGCCAATCAGATTTATGCAAACAAATCTCACTCATATGTACAATCCCTTTCCGCTCTTTTAATTCAATCACACTACCAATCGAAAAATACAAACTTTAGTATGCATTTGCTTCCAGTTTACTCACTTTTCACACTTACTGAAATAATGTTACCAAATTCATTGAGAATAAAAAGAAAGTGTCCAAAAGTAACATTTTTTCAAAGAACTCCTGTGAAGAAGTACCACTCCTTGTGGTAAAAGCTAAGAAACAATTGAGGCAATGACGCAACAAACTTGGAAGTACTTCTTCACTGCGCATTCACTCAGTTAGTTCATGCACAGCATGCAAGTTGGACGATCAACTTGATTTTTTACTGCTTTAGTAAGTTTCAGAATAGAATTGAGTGTAGTATCGTGGAAATTCTTTTATAAAACAGTAATGTCAAGTTGAACCCAAATAAAATTGTTAATAATAAACATTATCATAAGCTTACCGCTCGATACCGCCCCATTTGTGGGCGTATATACAAACTGATGAGGTTCACTAGTTTTCCCGCTAGATACGACTAACAACCGTACCGTTACAGGTTCGGTTATATTAGTCCTAGCGTAAGGAGGAACGACACAAACTAGATGTGTCTGCAAATCAACCGAATAAATATAAATACAAAAACAACCGAGTCGCACGCACCTGTTGTAAGAACTCTTTATCGGGTACAACGAATTGGTCCCAACAAAGACCTTGGTCGTCCACCTGCTGGAAAACAACTTTGGTATCTTTAAGAAAGTTTTTACCCAAAATGAACAGTTCCAAGCCTCCAGTGGCTGGGCATGACGTTAGCGATTTTTTGCATATTTCGGGTACACCTGGTGGTTGTGCTGAAATATTAAAAAAAAATTAAATCGTTTTAAAAAAGGACATACTTCGACCGGCTTGTAAATCCGTTTGAAATCCTTACAAGCTTCACATTTTTAAGAAAGTTGGTACAAAATTTCATTTTTGGGACTTACGCCCTCAAAAAACCCAAAATATATTTTCATGCGCAAAAAGACAGTTAGACGGATATATATTCTTCATTTTCCAGGAAATTTGTACAACAGATATTCTTTCACGATTAGGGCGTGTCGTGCGCGAGTGAAACCATCAATTGCCAACTTTTGTTTTTTTTGTGTACTGTATATCGTTGTATTCGAAAAAAAAAACCACTCAATACAGTGTGTACTTTTTTTTATGGGTCATGTAAAAAAATAACGTTGATATCTTCAAAAAGTGGCAATGAGCAAATGTTTTTTTATTTCTTTGTATCTGGTCAAATAACGAAATCAGCAAATGAATTAATTTGAATATTATGTTGCTTGTGCTTCAGAGGAAATAAATCTCTTACGCTCCTTAAACTGGCATTGTCAACTTTTTCTTCTGTTTAATACATCGCACACAAACAAAAATAAAGGCATCAGCCGCCACTGCTTTAAGATAAGAAACAAGTGTTCAAGCAGATAAAAGTTGAAACATCACAGATCTTAGACTTCAAAAGTTTCGTCCCGTTTTGTAAACAGCCGAGCACGTGACCAAAACAGAAACATAACTTCCTTACGTGAAAGAGGCGATCCGACGCTTGCTAGTTTTCAAACGTGAATATTGTGAAGTGTTTGTTACCCTATTAGTACGGAATCTTTTTAGTTTCGATGCATATTTAGATTAAGGTGTTCGCGTTTAAATAAATTGTTTGGGGTGCAAGGGGCAAAACATTCCGTTGCGCCAGATTTGCGGTGACAAGTTACGTAAAAAACTAAATTATTTTTCAAAGTTGTGCATCCAATTTGTTGATAAGTGCAACAAATCTACGAACAAAAGGACTACCAGTAAAAAGGTTACAGACAATTAATTCAAGCTTTTGTTTGTTGTTAAAACCCGTTACAAGGGTAAATTTTTGACATTTATACATTGCGAAAGATCGGTAATCTATTATTGGGAATAACTCAACCAATTAGGCCTGAAGCACGGTTTATTCCTGAATGAAATTGCATCAATCATCTTTCGAAATTAATTTTCAATAAGCAACCCAATTCAACTGGTAATCAGGAGGTCCATTCGTATTGTCCAAGTTGTTCCACTATCCAATTTTCCAAATTGCTGCTGCCTTCCAAAGGAGCAATCCAACTGACAATGTGGAAGTGTCCAAGTTTTTTTGTTGTAAAGTATTATTGAAATTTAAGGAAAATGAAACAAGAACGCAAAAGAATCATTAAAATACCTTCACAAATTAAAAAGTTACAAGACTTTAAAGTTGCGCATGGAAAAATAATTTGGGTCCGCGTGTGACGTCACTTGACCTATTCGCATACGACGTCTATTCGTTGGCTAAGTACGTGTACGATGGTAACAGGCGAAATCCAACTTCAAAGAAATATGAAAAAATATGGTAAAGATAAAAGGAATTCCCAAAAATCAAAGACAACAATCCGGTCATGATAAGGTGAAACAATGCTTCCAAGGAACTACCAAACGGGTGCCGACAACAAAATTCGAACGAAAAAAGAAGCGTTAGAGTACACGAAAATAACGTAGAAGACAAGAAAACAATTTAAGAAATAGAGGAAGCAATACAAAAATATCAAAAAAACAGGAATGGAAGTTCCATACATTAAAAAAAAGTAAAAAAAAAGTCCACTTACTACAAACAATTGGTTGCGAACAGACTTGTAATGTTTCAATTTGGCCGTTGTCATGCGTAACAGTAGTCCGAAACACCATCCTGCAGCGAGTCGATTTCTTTTTGCTTCTGGATCCAATTTGATCAGGAAATCTGTGCTCGACGTCAACGTTCCTTTCTTTGAGAATGCCGACGCAATCGCACGTTCCGATCATGTCTTTCGAGGGATCCAATTGTAGTTCGATGACAACGGTACCCTCCAATTTTTTTTCTGTGCACGGCGTCGAATTTTTACCGCTAACACGACATGCCTGGTAAAACATGTGAGGACTAGGCTTTCCGACGTCCGTTCCTATGAATACCTGCGTCACAGAAAAAAGTTCGAGTAAATTAATTACAATGAAACTGTAAAATGAAAAATTCATATAGGTAAATAAACAACAACATACAAAAATATACTATGATAATTGTTAGTGCTATAAAAATGTGCTCTATTTGGATTAAACTTAAAATTGTAAAGTCAAAATTTGAAAATATTAGCTCACTTAAGAGATACGAGGGAAAGTCAAAAAATTGTCAATTTCAGAATGACTCTTACATTTTGTTAGTTAAAAATGATACAGAAAATGTTTATTACAAAAGTTTGTGCATAATGATTGTTAAATAATCGTCCATTTTGAAAATAAGTACACTGGGTCAGATAAAAGTTATCAAACCTAACATAATTTTTTTTAATGGAACACCCTGTATATTTTAATTTAAATTTTGATTTGTAATTTTTCAAATTCCTAAAAAAAGATCAAATAAGCACTGATTGGGGAGATTAAATTAGATTATATGCAACAATATTCAAACATTTTTTTACATTGTATATGGGGTGGTTCAAATTCAAGGCTCACCATTGGGATTTCCATAACCGTGACATACAGTGTAGGTTAAATGGGGGGGGGGGGCAAAATTGTCTCTTTTTATTGTGACTAACAAAAAACCTTTTAAAATTGTTGAAAAATTGTTGAAAATAGAGATCACAGAAAAACTGAATATGTCAAATTTCGTTTTTATTTTCCCTAGCTTAAATTGACGGTCCCCGTTAGCACATTCTATGGGCACTTTTTTGGGAGAATCTGGATTAAAAACAAAACATGTTTTATGTTTTGTTTGGAAATTTATAAAAGTGCACTATACCTGTAAAGTTGCAGGTTTCTGATATCCCACAAGTTGTACGACAGGGAAACCATTTCCAGTACGATCCTTAACCGCGCCTCTACTACCTTCAGTTTGATACCGTGCTCTGTGTTGTTGTTCTGGCTGACTGATTATTCTCAAACTAACGCTCGCTAAAATAGTTTGTTAGAAAACAAAACGATGCCATTCGAAAATAGATTACCTTCGCGGGAGACATTTGCGAGCTGTGATGTGAGATTAACTGATTGTGAGGATGATACACGACTTATAAGTGGTGTGCATCGAGGAACTGCATGGGTACCATTACTGCTTTGTGTTCCATGTAGGTTAAGAGATGGAGTTGTAGACGATGGAGCTGTACGTATTATTCTAAAATAAAGTAAACCATCTATACCCGCCGTTTACAGCAGCTAACAACTAAGAAGGGATGTCAGTAGAACGTAAATACAACTTTAAACATTGTTATGTAGGTATGTTAAAAAAGTTGACTTCTCATCTCAACCGTAATTGCATTTAAAAAGTTGTACTTACGACATTGTGTCTTTACAAGTTCTTATTGTTTCGGGAAAACTAAAATTGTCATTGATCTCATCGTCTTCTAATTTAATGTCCAATCTTGGTCGTTTAGCTTCCGCTCGTTCTCCAGTCCATGTCAAACGATCTGTTAAATTTGTTCGATGATCAACAATGTGATGATCAAATCTGCGTACCAAATAAATATCTAAATAACTGTTTAAAAAAATTAATATAAACGATTCTTACCCTAAACCGCTATCATTAGAATTATCACAGGGGTCAAGGCTCCTTCTAGTAGTTGTGCGTACCTTACCGGGAAAAGCGCGAACCATTGCTAATCTCTTACCGGCTGATATTCTTCTATCAGTTCTTCGTTCTCTTGTCGCACTATGTGGAGTAACTACAGTGGGAACTGTACACATAGTCATCTTTCCTTCTGAAAAAGAAAAACAAAATGTTAAAAGGTGAAATGAAAAAAAAAGTTCACTCAGTCAAGGACTTACAATTTGTACACAACATTGAATGAAATCAGTGATACACAACCTCCAGATTTTTTAAAAATGCTAGTAGCGTAAAGACCCCTTTAGAATTGTTGTTTATATTTAAGCAATCTCTTATACAAAATGAATTACGTAAATGATAGGACCCCATGTGACATGATTATTAATTAAAATCCCCAAATCCCCGACAACAACAAATTCGTCATTTATTTGTTCATTAATTCATCAGAATTTGGTAGAAACTAATAGGAGTACGACTCCGCAAACGCATTTTCTTGTTTGTGAGGCTTTCAAATTGTGGAGCTTCCACTACTGCCAAAAATGTGCAAATGTACACATTTTGAACGTTTAACGTGGCGGACTTTGGTTTTCAATGAGTGCGCCCGCATTCAATGTACGGAATTTGGCACTGTGTCAGATTTAGCATAATCCTCAACCTTCAAACCCGAATGCCAATTTCAATAAATATCTCTTCGCAAAAAGCTACAAATGTTTGTATACCAGAAAAACCAGACCTTACTACTTAAATTTGCAGTTACACTACGTCAAAAAAGCTTTTCAAGTCACGCTTGTAATTACGTATACAGAAAAAATGTGAAAACTTGTGACTTATTTTTCGTCGATAACTTAGCATGTTGTCTTAAAATATGTTTCTGCTTCCAAAAAGTTCGGTCTATAAGTAGAATCTATTTTAAACCATAATCACAAACATTGGTCTGCAAAGCTATTTTGCATTTGAATTTTAAATGGCCAGCAAGTTTGACTTGGCGCCTAACCTCCCTTGTGCTATGCAGATAATTGGATTTCTAAAGAAGAAATTCTAGAGACTTTTGAAGAAATGTGTTCCAATTTACGAAGGCCAATCGACATCGCAACGGGAAAAAGTCCCGGGCCATTCATTCAAGAGGCGGGAGTGAAATTTCGACTTTCGGATTCGGGCGCAACAAAGAAAATACATAGATCTGAAACCTGAGAATGCATTTTCTACTATACTCAAACTTGGAGTAAATCGTTCGACCAGGGTTTTCACGTGCTTTCGTGTTTTTCGACACAAAAAATTCGAAGAAAAGAGAGTTATTATCGTGCTTTCAAGAAAACCATAAAATTCCGATTACTTCGGAAGATGTGCCAGAAAAACCGAAATTTGCCGACTTGGTTTTTATTTCAGTAAATGCAAAAAAATAAAAAAACACTGTCTCATTGCCGCTTTTTGAGCTCTACAATAGAGTGTTGCAAGACAACGTCTCGTTTCGGAGAAATCATCATCACATGGGGCGATTAGGGTATTGTATGCGGGTGCACCATCCTGTTGAAACCAACAGTTTCCCACTTCTTGTGTATTGTACATCGTTGTATTCGTATAAAAAATGCTACCCATATACAGTATGTACTTTTTTACAGGCCAACAAAACATTAAGTTGATGAGGATTTCTCCGTCATTAAACGTTGTATTGAAAAATCTCTCATCGATCTCGTGTGGAGCTCAAGAAGTAGCAAAGAGAAAGTGTTTTATTTTTTTTGTATTTGTTCAAATAACACCGAAAAAGATAAAAAACGAATTGGTAAATTTCGAATTATCTAACATATCTTCGGAAGTAATCGGAATTTTTTGGTTTTCTTTAAAGCATAAAAATAACTCTTTGCGCATACCTTCTCTAAATGGACCATTGTCGTATCTTCTACGGTTTCGGAAATTCCCTTGATAGACATCATTATCTTGGACACAGTGTATCTGTATAGTCTTAGTCCTTAGTGGGATTTGTCTTGCAATGAGGATTTTCATCAAGTAACGATAGTGGCAAATTTGACTTTTTTATAGTGGTAAAACGATTAGAAAATGTCGAACCAAAATAATACACACAGATAGAGAATATTATTTAGGTTGCTATGTGAAGGGCAGTACAGAGCTATTATAGATTCACATGCAATTGTGATATCGGTGAGAGATTACTAGATAACTGTTCTAAAAAATCACAAAATGTGTAACGTTCAAAGTGTACTACAAATATTGACTTCTGTTAAATAGACATAGATAAGTTGGTACTTCTGCAATAGCTACATGATTTAAAAAAAGTGTGTAGGTATTATATCACATTCCAGGGAATGATTTCATTTTATAATATAAAAGGTGATAAACTACTCATCATGCCATCCCACTGATTGCGATTTCAAATCAAAGCCACAAGAAATTCGAAAATTTAGCAAATGCGTCCCTTCACAAAAATATTGCCGCGAATTGAACTAATTCAAAAACCCTTCACTATAGGCATACATCAGTGACATATCAACTTTAAAATGCATAGATGAAAATGAATGAAAAATGGGGCATTCCCAAGGATGCTATATAATACAGGATTGCTCGATCACTGAATTTTTTCGCCGCGTGTAGTGACGTCACTGGCGGACCCAGACGCACCGCATGCTTTGATTTTTCGATGCGTTTTTGAAACGCTGTAGAGTGGAAATCTTCTTCGAAAAAAAAAATACGGTTATGCGGAAATCCATTCCTCCCGATGAGAAATTAGCTTTATTTCTCAGATAAGTAAGAACTGAAATTTATTACACGCCTCTTCTGTACAATTTCTGTTATAATTTTGGAGTTTGCCACACCGTGCTACAATGGTTTTTACGAGGGTTTTTACCACACAATATGAAGTGTTTAGCCCTGTTTTTATGAGCTGATGATGGAAATGTTGTGTCATCGGCAAATAAAACGCAAGTATTAGGTAACATGGTGTAGTAAAGTCATTAATGAAGGCGATGAACAAGATTGGCCCAAGCACTGAACCCTGCGGCACACCCGCCTTTATTGAACTGCAGTTTGAATAGACGCCTTTAATACACACGCTATTCTGTCGTTCTTCGAGATATGACTTAAAGAGCTTTAGCGAAGTGCCACTTAATCCATAATACTCCAATTTCGCCACAAGGATATCATGCGGGACACAATCGAAGGCTTTCGATAAATCAAATATTTGTATGATGTCGTACAGTAAATCCATTGCTCTTTTCAAAGATCTCAAAACATAAGCATTGCATATGAACAACAAAAATTGCATCGATTACCGATTTAACCGGAAGTGACACCGAAAATTGCAATATGCCATCGGATAGATCGTGATATCGCATACAAAACTATATTTGATCCCCAAATAAAAGAGATGATCCTAGTATCTCGAACACACTGTATAGGTACGTAACAAAATTTAATAATCTCTAATTAAGAAAAATGTTTTTCTTTAAAATAATAAATAATAAAATGTTTTTTGTGGCTGAATTAAATAGACGCACGCCACTGTTTATAGTTTCGAACTTTGTAGATTTGTTGCAAATTTTTAATAATTTATTAAACAATCAATTGTTTTGACAAAACTAGCAAAAGATTAACGCAACCTAAGTAGAATTACAAAAAATCAATTAACAAAACTATTTTCTTTAATTTGAGTTTTTCCTTTAAAGTGCTGCTATATAAAAAAAATGAACCTACTCTTTAATATGTAACCAAAACTAGTGATCGATTTAGAAAAATATGCCCCGTTGACCATGCAGAAGTACGCCACTGACCACAAATTTAAAGTAGATTGGTAGGAAACTTGTTATAATTGAGGATACCATAAAAAACTTATTTGCAAAAATTGTAGTTTTAAAGCAGCGTTCCAGACAAAATTTATATACATGGAAGACGGAAGTATACAAGCGCCAAGCGAGTATCGAATATCAATGGAAACTCTGCAAACGGAATTGAAAGTCTTTCTCAACCTAATGGCAAGATGAGACTTCCCCAATACATCTCGTTCCACGCATCACAGCGGAGCTTCACGTCGACTCCAAGCACGCATAACATTATCATTCTTGATGGTGGGGGCCTCAAATCGCCAAGAAAGAGATCAGCAATTACGTAATCGCATTTCTTCTTTCCCTCCACAAGACTCGAAATTGCCCCTGTGCCATGCATGTTACGCCAAAACGTCAATCGTATAAACGAACAAAATATCTCGCAATCGGAGTGTGTTTCAAGGCTAGTCGTTGTTGCTCACCCTCTTCAATATGGCAATAAATAAATAAACTTTGTTCTTGAAGAACTCTTTTAACTCCGAGATAGAAGAAAGAGTCCAAAATTAGATTGCCCGTCTGGCCTTGGCAGATGACGCCATTCCGATGCGAATTCAAAAGCCCCTGCTGCTGTCTTGATTATCATCTAATTCGAGCAAGTAGGAGTAAAAATCCACACAGCGAAATCCGTTACAATCCATGTCGAGAGCCAATGACCTTTTTTTCTTTGGAAAAAGTTGAAAACCGCATGGTCTCACATTAAATATGTTGGTAAGCAAAAGCATGTGATACTCAAAATTGATAAGGTCCCAATTTCCTTGGAATGAAGAGTCTACGAACGTAAAATGTAGAAACTTCTGTTGAGCATTTGATAAAAATAAAAGTGTTCAGAATTTCAACATACTCAAATATTACTTTCACCTTTGAATTACGTCGATGGGTAAAAAGTAAACACATGTGGTCATGTTGGTCAGCATTTGAAAGCAGGGGTCATCAAAATTTACAATGCACCGATTTGCTTTGGAAAAAGTACAAAACTTCAGTTGTGATCTAGATCTAGACCTTTTGCTCTATAAGTTAATACCTTCAAGCAAAAACCCTGATCCGAGCCCCAGTTACTTAGAAATATGTTGTTTTGTTCCTACATTATCACCAAAGACAGGATAGTCTTTGATATCACCTATGACGCTTATAATAGAATGACCAATCATTATTTGGTTTACATTAAAAAAATTATAAACAATCAGCAAGCTAGCGGTGATTATTTTTCAACAAATAACCTTGCAAAGGTACCAAAAACCTATTCATAACTCGAAGATTGTAAGTTAGACTGATATCGAAGACAATTGTAAAAAACAAAACGCCACACCCCGCAGCGACAGTT